AATCTTCACCGTATGATAAACAAAACTACCCCATGTAAGGAATTTGATCGTGGCTCTAAGCTCGTGGCTGCATGTGTAATTCCACTCGATGCCATTTTGAATAAATTGTCCACTGTTTTCGTCTGTCCAGTTCTAGGAAAATAAACATGTACGTGGCGGGGTTGTTTTAGCATTCCCGTAGGCCACAATTTTGTGTCTGTTCCACACATTTAAAAAAAGTATACATATATATAATATATTTTATTTTACATGCCTTATAAATATCTAAGCAGCTCAAGAATCTGCACAGGGCAAGCGTATAAGCAACACATTCAGACAAAATAAATAATGAAAGAAAATTAAAAACAGGAGCACAAGTTTGGGAATAATTTGAGCAACCCGTCGCGACACGGGTCGTCTCAACGCAGCACAAATGGTGACTTATACTCTGATCGACTGCACAATCAAATCAATGCGTTTGGTATTTGCACCGTTAAATCGCGAGGCAATTGACTAAGGCGCTATGTTTCACAGGCATCGTCTGCAGTCGTTTCACAGTAGATTGCTATGTGCTCTCCCAATTGAGTACATTTTCAAATGTAGCAAAATTTGGAGCGTGGCGCTGGCACACGGGACCTATCCTTTTGAGAATGTACTGTATGTACGTTGAACGTCTTTTGCACCGTACGTAGCCAACCACGCTAATCGGAGTTGCGGGTGAAGGACAACAAACGAACACACACAAAACAGTTCTAAAGAAATTCGTTTTCAAACTAGATTTAAAAGTGCATAGCTCCGGTGGCTTCCTGATAACATAAGAATAACGTTACGGGAACTTTAACGTGTGCTGTGGTATATATGTTTACAACACACTGCCATATTAACCAGGGCGGCTGTGGGGCTCGAACCACGAGCCCCTGCATCAAGGGGAAAAGACTCAACAGCTGGGCCACATCACCCGCCACGGCCATTGCTTCAGTGATGACTTCAGGAACATCTCTGGACTCGCGATGGCAATTGGGTTGAAGATGGAAGAGTCAAAGGGGTAGCAGTCAAAATGAATCGACGGCATCGGAGACGAGGAAAGTGTTATATGAGGGACGAGAGAATCAGGAGTGCGGAGAGCCAGGAGGAGCGGCAGCAGAGGGGAAGGAGCGATGTCCCACAGTTTGGAGGTTAATTTTGGGCTTCACAAACAGATCTAGGCCGTTATGCTGACTGTGCAATCAGGCGAGTGAGATGGTATATATATCCTGTATTCTGGTATTGAGTTCGATTTCTGGCCACTGCTACCATCAGTGGCGAGTTATGTCTGAGCCGGTCATGCCCGCCCCCACCTCCCTCCACCAACCCACATAGACCAGCATGGTGAAGTATGGTCAAACAAATCCCCATGACTAATATGGCATGGTGAGCACTTTATCCAGCAGTGGCTTGGCAAATGGTTCTCAAGAGACATAACTAACCCAAGTATAGCTGCACAGGTGTGGGCTTTTATACAAAGGCACAATTTCATTCGGTACATAAGTTACACATCCTAATAATGTAATCCAGCATAACGAGCCTTCTATTTTATTAACATAGCCATTTAACGGTTTCATGTACTGTATATGCTCACAATTACTGGCATCTGGATCAGAATGCAGGCCACTTCATCATCAATGCCAATACAGTATTTTCAATTCACATGTATGCGCCACTCTGTATACTTTAAAGTGTACGTTTGGTGGATGAAGTTAAAACCTGGCCTGGATTCATCGAGACAATGCTGTACTTGAGACACACACGCATGCAGCAGTAGCGAGGTAACTTTAAGAGGGAGTACAGCAAATTTGCTTCCCACTTATCTGTTCGGGCGTATGATTTATTTGGTGATGCTGCATTGGCAGTGGTGCACAAGCCACTTAAAAAATGCTATGACGAAGGACCATTGTTTGAAACGTCGTCTATCAGTTAGTTTTCATTTAAAGTGTTCTCCCGGTGTGTGCGTGTTTTCTCCAGGAACGCTGGTTTCATCACGCATGCGTAAACACTCGCAACGGGATTGACTGTCCAAACATCACCATGGAAGACACTCACGAAAACCGTCTCAAGACTCAGCGAGGACTTCGTCACCGTCTCATAAGGTAATGGCAATCCTTTGAGCATGTTCCATCCACTGCTGGATGAAAGCCCTCCCCAGGCCGTGTGGGTGTTTGAACGTAGTCCACCCTGCTGGGTCAGCGTGGGTGGGTGAAGGGATTCAGAGATATCACTCACCACTGATGTTAGCCTTGGCCGGTAATCAAACTTAGGTTGGCAGGTTCATAGCTCAGTTCGTGAATCACTGTGACATTATAGCACTGTCTTTGAAATAAAATTAATATAACCCAACATGAATGCACTCTGTTAGAGCAACATTTTTTTTCCAAAAGCAATTTCTCTCTATTTCTACCTATTTATTTTGTATTGCTACACAGTATACTACACAGTATACAGTATACTGTGCATACTACACAGTATACTACACAGTATACTGTGTATTATATGTTTTATGTTTGTATGCTGTATATTTTGCATCCAATATCTCACGAGAAGAAGTGGCTCAGTTCTCAGTAGCTTCTCACCTGGTTGTAAGCAGAGAAGTAAGGGTAATATAACTACATATACTTTGTTTTCCATCCACATATTATCGTCTACATAAAACGTATAACACATTTATCAATAACACTGCCTTGAAATATATAATAGGCAACGTTTCAGGAAATGGCCCTTTTTGAGAGCACATACAACAACGTAAAAAACTAATATCTATTGCAGCAATATTCACCACCCGTTTCAGCGTGATTGAGTATGCCCGACACCACAGTTTTACGAACATTTTTCCCTTATGAAGTTGGATAACCTATTTCTCTGCAATAAAAAAAAATAACGATTACAGTCCGAATTCGTCGACATTATTCTCAAATAAAACAAACACTAGTGGTTAAGCCATTTCCCACATGCTGTATTAAAATTGTCTGAAAAGTACGTCTGCAGCCGTGCAACTGTCCACAGATCACGCCTATATCCAGATCACCCTCCGTGCGCTCCCAGGTCCACATAAACTAAGCAGGGGTTGGGAGTGCACGGGAAAGTGTCTCGCAAATGCCACGCGTTGTCGGCCTGCAAGTGATAGGTAGCCAGGAGATGGTAAAAGGTAGCCAGCAGATGTACAGCAAATGGATGGTTCAGTCCATGAGAAGCTTGGTTACATCGCGTATGAACGTGTTTGCTATTGCTAATCTGATTTCTTCCCACGCCACTCAATGCAGAGCCCTCCTGCAGATGAGTCTTGAGACTCATTGAGACTTTTCTGGATAGAGGGCATTTCCGTTGACATTGCTATTAATATTGCTGTGAAGGCCGATTGCCTGAAACGTCACCTATTATAGGGTTTTTTTTTCTCTTTAGGGCAGTGCGATTGTGGAATGTTTAGATTTTGTTTTTGCCAAGGCAGTATCACAACTTTAGGGGTCATTTGCCAATTTTTTTGGGGGGGGGGATTTAATGAAATATTTCACATGGATAATCTGTTGAAATGGAATACCTCGTTTGCAAGAGTGACCCAGACCAGCATGTCCTGAATAAAACAGTTGCATTGCGTACGAACATATTATTGCTCCTCGTAAACATTTTCTTTTTTAACAACCTAAAAGTCCTGGATAAATCTGCAGTGACTGTTGTAGAGGATGATGGCATTAACAGACTAAGGTATGTAATAAACACACCGCCTATACGCATATGCAAAAACCATCAACAATTCCTGAACAACAGCATTGCCTTCAATCTCCATAAAATAAATAGATTTTTTATCAAGTGGCAACAGCAGCACAAACTTGCAGGACCGGTGTTTGTCGTCACTATAACTCATACCTACCAACCCATATGATTTACTCCGTATTTTTGTGCAGGGAAATTTAATTTTCAGGTCCATATGATGTACAGCCGTTTCAATACGGGCAAAACAATGTTTTGTCTTTTTTTTGGTGTTTCTCCCTTGTGATGGGACATTGTAGGATGGACGTTGAGATTTATAACGGCACGGGGTGACCAATACTGTCTGAATTGTTCTGTGATAAGGTAGGCACTGATAAGGGGTTGACAGGTATGATAACTTAATTATCAACTCAGTATCATCACCAATGCTCACCGATGCTAAATCTTCCCTTTGCAAACCCATATATGTGGAGTCCCCACTTTTTTTTATAATATGGGGCCCATTTAACTCGGCCAATGCCAAAGATAATGGACATCTATAAATGACGTGAAGACCATAGTTGTCAACCCATACAGTTTACCCCGTATTCTTATACAGGGAAATTGAGTTTTCAGGTCCATATGGCGTCCAGCCGTTTCAATACGGGCAAAAACATGTGTTTGTCTATTTCATTGTGTTTCTCCCTTGTGATGGCACTTTGTAGGATGAACGTTGAGATTTTATAAGGGCACGGGGGTGACCAATAAGGTCTGTAATAATGTAGGCAATGATAAGGGGTTGACATTAATAACGTAATAAGAGCGTTAATAAAAGTAGTATTAATATTCTGTTGTGATGGGTGGGGGGGGGTAATGTTTTTTTAAATATCGTAAGTTATAGATATTTAACGAGAGTTTGGGGGGCATATGTATTTGCCTATCTTTGATAAACTTCGCTTTTATTTTTTAACCCGTTCGGCCACTCCCTTAAATAAGAAAAAATAAACGACACGGGCCGTGACGTCACCTCCCCCGCTGTTTGTCCCAAAAAATCCCTCCCACCCCCACCCCCCACGAGCGGCGATGTCCTTATATGGTCAACATCCGCCTCCCACACTGAGAGCGAGAGAGGTGGAGGAGGGCTCGTCCAATAGGAGCCGCCGAGTAGGGGTGTCGAGGGGTGGGCGGTTTGAATGGGAAGGGCCAGGGCGGTGTTGTCGTGCCCACGCCCCGGACACGCGCCAACTCGGCCACCCCCCCCCCACCCCACTCCTCAGCACGAGTTGGTATCGTCCGCGTTATGAATGGGGAAACTTTTAGCGTTGAGAGCGCGCGGTTGTTGCGGGGGGTGGGGGCAGCCGCTCCGGACTGCACTCGCGCGGCGTGAATTTAACCAATTAAGCAATTAACAGCGTCGGTTGTTGCTGTTTTGGTTAGCTGCGGTGGTGGTAGTTGTGCTTGGTGGTGGTGGTGGTAGCGGAGAAGAGGCAGTGGAGACGAGGAGGAGGAGGTGGAGGAGGGCTTGCGCTTGGGTGTCAAGATGCCGCGCGTGGTTCCCGATCAGCGGAGCAAGTTCGACAACGAGGAGTTCTTCAGGAAGCTGAGCCGCGAGTGCGAGGTGGGGGGCACGGGGACACGCGGGGGGCCACTGGCGGGGACTGCCGAGACACGGGGACACTTGGGGGGCACGGGGACACGCGGGGGGGGGGGGGCACTGGCGGGGACTGCCGAGACACGGGGACACTTGGGGGGCACGGGGGCACGCGGGGGGGGGGGGGCACTGGCGGGGACTGCCGAGACACGGGGACACTGGGGGTACAGGGAGACAGGGGGTAGAGGAGAGACTGGGGGGTACAGGGAGACGGGGGGTAGAGGAGAGACTGGAGGATACAGGGAGACAGGGGGTAGAGGAGAGACACTAGGGGGTACAGGGAGATGGGGGGTAGAGAGACACGGGGGGGGGGGGGTAGAGAGACACTGGGGGTGTACAGGGAGATGGGGGGTAGAGGAGAGACACAGGGGGGTACAGGGATACAGGGGGTAGAGAGACACTGGGGGGGTACAGGGAGACAGGGGGTAGAGAGACACTGGGGGGGGGGGGGCACAGGGAGACAGGGGGTAGAGGAGAGACACTGGGGGGTACGGGGAGACGGGGGGTAGAGAGACACTGGGGGGTACAGGGGGGAAGAGAGACACGGGGGGGGGGTACAGGGGGTAGAGAGACACCAGGGGATGGGGGTACAGAGACACTGGGGGTGTACAGGGAGACAGGGGGTAGTGGAAGGACACGGGGAGACGCGAGGTGCACGGTGACACACAGCCATCAATGGTGATACAGCAACAAGAGACAAGAAGCCGTGGACTTGGGGACGGGGCGAGACACGTGGACAGAGAGAGACACGCCAGGCGGGGTGGACAGAGAGAGACACGCCAGGCGGGGTGGACAGAGAGAGACACGCCAGGCGGGGTGGACAGAGAGAGACACGCCAGGCGGGGTGGACAGAGAGAGACACGCCAGGCGGGGTGGACAGAGAGAGAGACACAGACGTGGAGACACCACGGGGAGACACACGGCGGAGTAGGGAGACAGAGGCACTGGGAGAGAGACAGGACGAGAGGGGGATGGATGATGATGGACTGTCACAGGAACGCATGGAGACCGGAGGCATATGGACAAACAAGGACGCTGAAGGGGTGATAGAGATGGGGGACGGAGAGACACAGACAGCGAGACACACAGTGGCACAAACAGAGACACATTGACACAGAGACAAATTGACACAGAGACACACAGTGACACAGAGACAAAGAGAGAGACAGTGACACAAACAGTGAGACACGGTGACACAAACACAGACACAGTGGCACAAACAGAGACACAGTGACACAAACAGAGACACGGTGACACAAACAGACACAGTGACACATACAGTGACACAAACACAGACACAGTGACACATACAGCGAGACACAGTGACACACAGAGACACGGTGACACAAACACAGTGACACAAACAGAGACACAGTGACACAGAGACACGGTGACACAAACACAGACACAGTGACACAGACGGACAGCTGTTGTCAGCAGTTGTCCGTCTCCGCTGGCTTAGACGGACGGAGTTTTGTGGCCGTGAGCGGGAATCGAACTCGGGTCGATGAGTTCGGTAGCGCAGCGCGCTAACCGCAGCGCCACCGCTCCTCACGGGAAGAGCACGTGGACGAACACGTGGACGACCATCACGACCACGTGGACAGATGTCCACATGGACAGATGTCCACATCGCTACGGCTACACGCGTGCACTGGTGCTGGGTAGCGGGAACTCGCCCCACTTGCAGAGAGGGCAGCGGTTGCGTTGTGGTTAAATTCTGCGTTCGGTTAACTTTGAGTTTGCTTGGGGTTAGTGCGGTGGTTGCCGCACTTGGGGTTAATTGTGTTGGCAGCTGATCGTGGGGCATTCATTCAACGCGGTGTGGTGGTTTATGTTGGTATCGTGGTGTGGTTCCGTGGTTGTAGCGGTCAGCTACGAACCCGGTGGCCAGAGTTCGATTCTCGCGCACGGTCACCAAACACCCAGTGGCGATTGTCTGAAACGGTCCTGGGCCCGCTCCCTCTTAGGTCGACTCAGCCTCAAATGAGTACCCGGTGCGGTGTGTAAATATCACCACTCGGCAGCCAACCCCCTCGTGTGCCATAACAACACTTGCCCCAACAGTCTGTTGCAGGATGTACACGCGGGATCTTTGCGTTTGTGGTGAACTTTAGGTGTGGTTGAGTTCAAATGTGTGGTCTGTGTGGTTGAGGATTCGGTTTCAATGAGGGGTCCACTTAGTTTGGTGCGTTTGGACACGGCAGACGTCTGACTTTGCACTTTAAATACATACTTTATATGTACTATCAAGCCATGTAAACACACGTGTAATTCAAACACGCGTCTCGAAGTTCAGGGCTTTTGTTTACACAACATCGCCCGTATTTTAAACAGATGAGATGGCGAACGCACAACCCACATCCCATGTATATATCTCTCTCTCATCCTCGTGAAAGTTCAACTCTCGAAGAGCAAGTCATTTGCAGAACAATTGTCATCACATGTATCGTAAATATATTGTTATTTACTTAATAATACGTAGTCATAAGGGGAAAGCATCCTTTTTTACCGAATGCAAAATATTGTAGTCTTACATTTACATTATGTAACATTTGTTTTTTCATCCCCTTTATTACTACGTTAAAGTATTATCTTATTATCCATTAATTGCAACACGTGTAACACAACATGATAGACGTTCAATTTCCTCTTTAATCGTGTGAAATTGCCTCGTAGATTTGGAACAGAAAACGTCAACATTTAAACCATTGGTTTCGGAATAGACAAATGTGTACATGTATCTGCGCATGTGTATTATTACAAGGTAGACTTTACCACTACATATGAAAATACATCGACAGATCCACATCTAAAAAACTTAACGGCTGAGCGATTTGCCAAATCCGTGGTGATGAAGACTTTGGCAGTTTTTGTTGCCAAAAATGTTACAACAAAAATGACAACACAAATTGAGGCCCATCCTGTTACAGCGAATGTTGTATGCTATCCCACTTATAGGCTGTTAGTATTATTTTAAAATCTTAGAATTTTTACAGTATTTTACTTACCTGTATTATAACTGGAGTGGCCTAGCAGTAGTTGGAACACGACACTATGAACATGATGAAATGAATGATGTGGCAAGTGATACCTGAATCAGTCCTCTGCGCCTGCTTCACCAACCTGTACTGACCAACATGGTGAAGTATGGTCAAACAATCCTCACATTTGTCATGCCGCGGGGTGGCCCTCATGCACCAGCGGTGGATTGATAAAAGACGTGTACATCGCAATAATTGTGTATTATATTTCCAGTATATTTATGTAAAGTGTGGAATGCGTTAAAAACATATCAATTCAAATAAATACATAAACACACGTATGCACCAAAATACGCAACTTCATTTAGCATGTTTTTGACACTACATGTTGTGCTTTATCCTAGTAAGTACTGCCACAATTAGCTACTTTAAAATCTCACATCATTAGGGGTCGATCACTCCGATTGAAGCGTTTGCGGTAGAGGCAACCGCGTTGCCAGGCGCTCGCTTGACTGCGCAAAGGGCTCATGCGAGCGATCCTCATGGCTTGTGTTTGTACGTCTGTGCATGTGCGTCTCGGCCGCAGGTCAAGTACACCGGTTACCGGGACCGGCCCCTGGAGGAGCGGCAGATGCGCTTCCAGAGTGCGTGCCGAGAGGGTCGCTCAGACCTGGTGAGTGTCGAGCGAGCGAGCGAGCGGGCACGCGGGCGCACGCGAAGACAACGGCTCCCTCCCGGTGTGGCCTCTGCACCGTTGAGGCAATTGCTGTTCGCTTGTGGTGCAGCAATGGAGCAAGCGTTTTGGTCTTGATGTGTGGGCGGTAGTGTACAACTACGTAGTAACACAAACGTAACACATTCGTCAACACTTCCCATATGAGGAAAAAAAAATATATAGGTGATACTCTCTGGTTCTTTCGGTAAAGTCACGTAGATAGAAAAAAAAAAGAACACGACGTATTGGTCAACACAAGCGTCCGTCATCAAATCTTCAAATCAAGATGTATAGGTGATGTTGAAGGCTATAACCCATCTTCATAGCAAAACTCCCATTCGCATGGTTGGCTACGTACGGCGCGAGAGAAGTTCAACGTACATACATACAAACTGTTTCCTGCAGGTGTGTTGTTAGAAAATGTGTTGCAGGAGAGGCGATGTTGTGGTTATCGCACTGTGCTGCAAACCCGGCATCCTGTGTTAGATTCCGTGCCACAGCCAACATCAGTGGAGGATTTAACAGAACCAGTCCTGGGCCTTTCCATAAGTTGGCAGTCTTCAGTAATTACTTGGTGTATTACTGAGAAGACAAAGGCGGCCAGGCATGGTTCTGACAACACCAACCTCTTATACACTGTGCCGGTCTTCGTAGGCGCTTTCTAACGTGCACGCATACATGCAAATGCATGCACAAAACACACACACCCTTTGGAACACGGTTCCCACATTATCTGTGTTGACTGTTTAGGTCCGTGCAACAAATTCTGCGCAGATGTCTTCAAGAATGCATTGCTGTACTACCATCTTCTAGCCACCTCTCAAATCTTGCCTACAACATTCGGTTTTCCAAAAATTCTCACTTCCATGCCCCAATTTGCTTAGCTTCTGAGATCTGATATGAGATCGGGCATTTTCATGGTGACTTGGTCGTAGAATTCCCAGGCCTACGTTCAAGACACCAGTTGTCAATATTATTCAAGGTCAGGAATTTCAGCCAAGTCGTATTAATTGTAGAGCAGTGTTATAACCACTTTGTCACCACTCCGCAACACGCGCGTGCAGACACGCGCACACACGTGCGCACACGCATGCTTCTGGGCCTCGGGGTAGTCAGGCACTCGCGGACGCGTACACTCTCCTTCCTGCTTCAAACCTTTATCCCACCCTGCAGGCATTGCACATGCTCTGCCCTTACCACAACAAGGATCCTACTTTTAGCATGAAAGCGGAAAGTTTATAACTACGAGGATGAAGAACCCACAAAAAAAATGTGGGCCTCTGTTTTATCACGGTAACAGAGTATTTGTCTGTGTTATTAGATCTGCGTTCGTACGGTAGATGCAGGCACACGTATTTGAAGAGTAAATAAAAGGAAAGGTTGGGGTTTTTTTTCTAACTAAAAATACAAAGAATTGTATTTTATTATGTTTTATTATTATTTTATTATTTCCCTTCTACGTGACTTTACCGAAAGAACCAAGAAGAAACAGAAAGCCGTTTAGGGTTTAAAAAAAAACATTTTGACAACCAATGTGGTCACGTGGCTCGGATGAAAAAAAATCTAATGATCATAATTTGTGGGCAAATTAATCACATTCTGTGAAGTCACTTTCTCCAACATAAACAACTTCCTTGTAACCAAGAATTACTCCATGTAGTTAAAAAAGTCCTCCACTGACAAAACAATTCTGAATGCATATTAAATAAAAACAAGTCGCGTTTAAATTATACATCCTTATAAAACACGTAGTTTTATTGTATACTGTATATGCTTTATAAATTGACATTTGAAGTGCAAAATATTTGAATTTCAGTTTAGGCTTCAATAGCACTCTTTGTTTTAAGAGCAAATATGTTTTCTTCACGAGTCATTATTGATTACGTACTTGGCGAAATGTATTTACTATTATGGCCTTTCGGTGTTTTGAGAACTGTGATGTTACGAAGCATTGTTTATAATCCAGCATTGCTGTTGAAAACACGAGCTCACGGCTAAATAAAACGACTGTACTACAACCATCAGGAATGTTGTGAATCGCACATGGGCAAGGAGTAGTGGAAACACACGGCAATTAAAATAATGATGTAGAACAATGCGAAGTTTGGAAATATATTTTGCCCAATTAGCCTTCTCCAGGCCAAGGTCAAACGGTTACCAGCGATGCTATTTAACGTGCGTGTGTCATGCCTCCTGTTTGGAGCCGGTGGAGCCCATGCCACCTGTGTGATGACGCATGGTCCTCTGATCCCCACAAAGTCCCTCTTGTGCACCTGGCAACAAATATTTTGAAATCCGCAAACGTGTTGGTAAATCAACACTTTAATATGATCGCTCGAGCCACTCGCATGTTTGTTACATTCAAAAGAATCGGCCCAAATGTATCACCAAGTTGAGGTCCCAATTTGGCAAAAAGCACGCTCCACAGCAGTTTTTGTGCAGCTCTCTTACCGATAATTGCGCGGTCCGGAGGTTTTTGCTCTTAACCTTTGCGGTGCTTGGCAAACACCGGCATTTGCTGTTCGGCATAAAGCAGCACTCGGTCCATAGCATTTCGTCTGCCGCTCTTTCTCTCTCGGTGGCATCCGTTTGGTGGCTTTCAAGTTCATTAGGGCCTCGCGTTTCGTCCCGTAATTATTTCCATTCGCCCGTTAGGAGCACGCTCGAAGCGGCGTGCCCGCTTGCATTCGCATTATTTATAGAAACCGTAAACGCTCTCTGGCAGCCCTTCTGTCATTTAAAAAGGAGACATGTGCTCGGTTCGCCGGGTCGTGCGGTTAACTTTATACGAGGTCCTCCGCCACATGGAGCAGCGTCATGACCGGTCTGCGTCAGTCGTGTGCGTTTTGTGAGGGGTTTAGAGCACGATTTTTCCCGGCTTCCTGAAACGTCTTCAGTTCGCCCGGGACTTGATATCAGAGGTTTAAAAAAATATATTTACTATAAAATTGTTTTGGTTTTTAATGGTACCGTAGCCTGCTTTGATGAGAACAGCCGCTAAAACACGTCGTCCTGTTTTCGGGTCTTCAGGATGGAGTATATGGTGTGTTATGTTCTATGCTTCGCTGTATTTGAACAACATTAATTCGACAACAAATACTGGAGTCGTGGTTCCTAAGTCTTCTCGACTTGCAGACCACTATATACCCTTGAAACATTTTCACAGAACCAACTTGCAATAAAACAGATAGGTGTTTTGTGAAAGCGAATAAATTGTACCCCGAGGTCTTGCTTGTGGCCCACCAGAGGTCTGCGGATGACAATTTGTAAGCCACCGTTGTACAGTTGCAGCATTTTAAAAATAAACAGAGAAATAGGATTTGGTAGAATTAAGAAACAGCGATTTATTCACTTTGTGATTGGCCTCACATTTTGAAATGAAACGAGCATCCATTACGTAGCGCTGCTACGCATCCACATGTGCGCTTTTTACCATCTATGACATTCTTACCCATTGTGGACCAATGAGAAAAGAGCTTTTGTATGCATGCCCGGTACCCTATGCTTCACGAGAATTCTACAATGAAGTTGCATGTTTCTGACACGCCGAAACTATTCTTCCTTGTTCCTATATTTTCGTCACTTCTCCGACATCCTACTTGTTATACTGTAGTGCATTTTTGCGGTGTTTTCGATGGGTTTTGAATGTTGAGTACGCACATTAACGGGAAGTCTAAACGGCTGGGGTACGCGACGTAACATTTGTAGCTTGCATAGCTTTTCACTCCCCCCCCCCCCCCACAATCCTTTTTCTGTAGTATTTGTAGTATTATATGGGCAAGTGCAGCGCGAGGAGTTGCGATAGCCTACTTGTGACTGCGAGGTTTAGGGTCCGTGTGTGGAACGATGTGGTTGGTGTCTTCTCTCTCTCGAGTGTTTGGTCACTGGCTTGCCGTGTTTAATGAGCGATAGGGATGGAAAGTAAGAGAGCAGCAATTATCTATAGAAGTGCCCCCAATAACCTCCACTCCCGCACTGATTGCTGCTGTTTATGACACCAATAACGGGCTTCTGGTATCTTGGTGTTTCTCCCACGACTTTGTGAGCGAGAAAAACAACGTTCAAAGGAGCGGTTTCAGATTTGCAGTGGAAAAGATGAACGCTTATTGCAGCTGGGCAGAACGGGCTGGGCCCATTAAACAATCAGGCGTGCCCTCGTTCACAAAAGGTCATCGTTAATTTCGCAATTTGGAGTCTTTCTCGGCAGAGATTAACGGTTTGAATTGTAGGTGATGCGTGGAAATCAAGACGGAGTTTTGAGGGCGACATGAGTTCACACAGACTCATTACTGTTTTTCAATATTCAACACGAACATCGCTAAACGTTTTTCTTGTGCACAAACGTCTACTGCTGTTAGATGTAACACATGCCACGTACATTATTGATATGCGTTTATGTAAATAGAAATTCTACAATATCGTATATTAGGGCTGTATTAGTCCAATACAGCATATTAGCCCTATAATAACGTATTGATTCAAATATATATTAATATTTTTTTGCATTTACAATACATGCATCAAATGTTGCATGTGTAGTGACTGTTCTTGTCGAAGAACCACGTCTCTAGCCACGCGGTTCGGGACCCAGCTTGTGGTCCGGGATCCAGCTCGTGGTCCCGGCCGGGATAGCGAACCGTGTCTAGTTCTGCCCGTAGCGTGGCGAGATGGGCATTCTAGACCCGAGCGTAGGTTGTGTTCTGTTGGCGCTGTTGCGTTAAATAAATATTGTTGCTCCCAAGTTAGCGTCTGCGACTCGGTTGGACTCGCTACATGCAACAAGTTAATTTTCTCCGATTCGCATGTTTTGTTTTTAATGAATGATGTGACTTCTGCAGCCACTTGAGGTGCTTAAAATGCACCGCGACATTTACTAACAAAAGTAATAATAACAATCCATTGTTGAATGGAATCAGATCGCCTGGGTGGCGATTTATATCCGAATCGGAATATGTATTTGGTTTGGAGAAATCCGATGAGCGATAAAGCTCGCTTTCACAGATGTCCAGTCGGGGCGGGTCAGAACGTTGCAACAACAAACAGTACAAAAGCACGATGCAAAGTATAGGGAACGTAAGAAAATCACGAGTAAAACATACAAATGAAATAACTACTTTTATTTGAACAGGTAAAGCCCACTGAGCTATTAGATTATTTTTCAGAAGCGACCTGGCCACAAACGATAGCTCAACAAAGTGGCTCGTCACGTGGAGATTTAGAGCAGCCAAATAATCGAAATAATCGACACGGTGTATACATGTGCATGCACAGTGTGTACACGGGTTTCTGAAGGGTGGACATGAATACAAACTGCGAACTGAACTGCGTGGTCCTTATCCAGCAGTGGATTGACAAAGGGCTGTACATGTATAACTTAATTCACAAGTCGTTTATTTTACCACGGTGTACCGCTATTCAAATTCTTTGCACCAGTATATATGTAGTAAAAGTATGTATATATGTAGCGGTTGCATGTAGACAACATTAACAAGAAGATGTCCAAAATACAAAAAAAATATTGTACAGTTACGGGGAAAAGTTGTTCACAGATGCTCATTATTGAAGTTGCATTGAAGATGGGTTTTTTTTGTAAATATGCATTGCGTGCATACGAGTGGGAGTAGCTTAAAAAAAGTGAACCACAACATCTGGATCACAGCGGATTTGTCAGCTGAATTCCCTTTGAATTGAGTGACTGTATGGGCACACTGAGTCACTGGTGTTCTGAGCATTGACTCCCTGCGAGACACGAACTTTTAAATATGACTCTTGTTGTTGCTTTTACTGTCGGTGGACTTCACCAGGCTACACTATGAGACCTCCTTTACCAGTGGCAAAATATAATAGGTTTTTACCCTTTCAACTGGTACAAAACTGACACCTTTATACAAGGGATCATGTTTGCAATCACCACAACACAAGCAGTCAAAATGCAAACAAAAATTAACAACTCTGATAATGATATGCACTGTCCTTGAAGTTGATTGGTCCACACCCGAGACAGCTTTTCTTAGAGCCTTTTGGCGTCATCTGGTCCAACACCAATGGAGACTAGGCTCTAAGAAAAGTTGTCTCGGGTGTGGACCAATCAACTTCAAGAACAGTGCATACATTATATCAGAGTTGTTTATTTTTGTTTGCATTTTGACTGCTTGTGTTGTGGTTATTGCAAACATGATCCCTTGTATAAAGGTGTCAGTTTTGTACCAGTTGAAAGGGTAAAAACCTATTACTACTTCACCAGGCTACTTAACTTTTTAAAATGTAAAATATGTGTTAGTGAGGTACGTTAAATATATATTTTTTAATATAAAGACGGTAATTTAAGGCAGATGCGATTAATTACATGTATACACGTGCTTCTTCAGCAGCATTCACGTGGCACGTTGTGCTTCTTGCGGCAGTTTGGCCTCACAGATTCTCCCGCCAGCTCAACAAGAAGGGATTTGGTCTCTGGCAAGCATTCACGATGGGTCGATTTAACAATTGCCTACAGATTAACAACTGTGGATAATTTCACTGGTCAACACACTTTTTCTGGCATAAGGTATTTCAACGGGTTTAAGGTAAGTTTTGGGTGCTGATTCCAAATCTGGCATCAGTTTTTGTCTATCACATCAGGTTTTTGAGATGTCAAATATTGCATTTTCAATAAAAACTGCAGAAGAAAAATATTAAATAAATGTGGATATCTACATAAAATTATATTATAAACACACTATCCTAAAATTACAGCACCATATTTTAACACTAAAGCAGTCACTGACTCACAACAACTTGCAATCATAAGTGACAGAGTTAATTTCGGGTAAAATCAATGAAAATGGGGTATACCGATAGCATAAAATGAGATGTGATAGAGCAAATCTGAGATCAGATTTGGAATCAGCACCCTGAAATTAGTCTATAACAGCTGCAAAAGTCCAGGCCAGAAAAAATAGTTTTTTTTGTTGACCAGTGTAATCATCTGACACACAACGGTCACATATCACACACATTGTCAAGGGGTGTACTAAGCTGTCTTGTGTTAGAAGGCGTGTTTGTTTGTTAATATTTAGTGGAATGATTAGGTAATTCATGAAAAGCATTCCTGTACTCAAAATGTGATTTATCTCAATTGTGTACGAGGCAGAGTGGTAGCAGTAAGAATTAGAGTTAGGGTAAATTTTTCTTACCAAAAAATTATCTCCACCCGCAGGGAGCTAGAGTTCGTACAGATCACCCATCAAATGTTGGGCAAAGAAGAATCCGCTGTAAGTGTACGTAATGCGGCAACTGAGCGAGGAAAGGTGGTGAATATATTTCCAAAGGTCTCCCATTTACCTTGGTGAGAGTTGAGGCAGGCATCGTTAGCGAGCACCCCATGTTATATGTGTACACGTGGACATATTCATGTGTTGTCATTTTTGAAAAAAGTTTTGCTTATCGGTGGGCATATCAAAACAAAACTCTTGCCAACAAACAAACAACCAACCAGCCCCAACAGCAACGTCTCTTGTGCTTCAAAGTCACGGGGCAACTTGCAGAGGCAGTGTAGTGTACGCAGTGGTTAGGTAGCTACTCTCGAACACTAAATCCAACTACATTGCCGCACCGGTAATCCATCGGGTAATCCAGAGACAAATCTGTTACGCTGCTCTGACGAGTCATGTGATTGGTCATCGTTTCAAACGTGAGGTTAAATGGAACCTGCAACATTGTTACATTTTGAATGACAGCTAGGGATGTAACCAACGTCTCGCTATTAAAATCAAATCTGAATCTCACGATGATACCTTGAATCATGTATGCCAAGAAGTGATTATATAAAATTGATGCAAATTATATGCAAGAAATATGCTAATAGTACATTTAGGCAGATGGTGCAAACAAAACTGGTCAAAGAAAACTAACCAAATTGAGAAACGCTGCAAAAATTTGATAAAAAAGGATAGATTCTTGAATGGATTCGCAACCGAAAATTGTGACAATTTATATGCACCATGGGGGCGAATTATTACATGCCTAATTACAAGGGCTGTACACCATGGGCACCCTTGCAAACGAGATGTTCCATCTCCAAGGGATTGTCCAAATAATTGTTTCTTTAACAATAAATAAACTAAATTATACCCATCAGGTGTTGAACAAAGACGTATTTCTCCCTAAGCCAGACTCACGCCCATGGCTTCCCCCGTTTAACGGTGCCACCAATTATTCGCAAACGTAATTACGATTGTCTTGTAATTGTTTGCCCAGATATACATATACAAAGATCCCCCGTATACCCTTAACAGAGTGTTGGGGCAGTTGTTCTTAGCGTGCACCTATGAAGGCAGGAACGGCACATGAGGGGGTGGGTGGCCAACACCACGCCCGGCCGCCTTTCTCTCCCCAGTGGTGATGTTTACACATCACACCAGGTACTCATTTTAGGCTGAGTCAACTTAAGGGAGACCCATGGCCGGTTCAAATAATCGTCACTGGTGTTGGACGCGAGCGGAAATCGAACTCGGGTGGCCAGGTTCGTAGCGCAGCGCGCTAACCGGTACTCGAACGCTCCCCGCAGATATCCAAATTTATATATACACACATACACACACACGTGTGTAAGGTTTGTTCGTTTTTTTTTCCTTCCCCCCCCCCACCTTCCAGGCGTTTGTCGCCACGGGCACGAACCTGTCGCTGCAGTTCCTGCCACCCACCTTCCACACGGAGGGACAGCGGCCGGCGCCCACGCGCGATTACGTGGACTTTGAGAGGGAGCAAGGAAAGGTGATTAACGCGCGCGCACACGCCCGCGACGACACGCTCGCGCACAGGATGCACGGAGACTCTCCCCCCACCCGCCCCCACCGGGAGCTGCCTCCGTTTGACCACTGCCTAAAGCTGATGTGGGAGATATCTACCCTCGAGCAATCGGGGATCGTTGACGGGCTCGAGCAGGACTTGGCTTGGATATAGGAGGACTCCCCCATCATTGACTTGTTCTTGATTAGGCCCTCTCTCATCTACGTACGTATGTACGGTGAACTTCGTTCACACCGTACGTAACAAACCGTGCTAATTGGATTAGGGTGGGGGGGAGGACAACATACTAAACACAAAAAGGAGTTCTAAAGAAATTCGTTTTCAATCTAGAATATTTAAAATTGCATAGCTCCGGTGACTTTCCTTATATCGGAAGGAAGAGCGTTCCAGGCGGCTGCAGAAGCGCATCTGAAAGCGCCACGCGATGCAGTGACCGTCTTTGTTCGCTGGGTAGCCAAAAGCCGCCACTGTGAGGATGGCCGGAGTTTATGCGACTATGTGACCTTGCCCCACCATTCCACCCCCCCGCCCCACTTTTTTCTACTCTCCTCTTTGTATTCTCCTTACCCCACTCTTTCATTCTTCCTTGCGTCTCTACTCATACTTATTTTCCGTAGATCACTGCCAAGCGCGTTATCAATGTGTGGAGACGTAAACTCCGGTTCTTTTCTCTGTTTGTGCTGTTGTTCGAAAAAAAAAAGAAATTCTAAAACGTGGAGAAAAGCCCAAGTTTATCCGACAATGGAATGCTGGGACAGGTGCTTTTCGCGCAAGTCGATTTGGATGGTAGTGCCAGCATATTTACATTCCTGCATGGCCACTTTTATCTCCCCAGCCGTTGATAGTGACCGTGCCCTGAGCAATGCAATCTTATTAAGCTTGAGGCAACATGTGAAGGGAGCTGTGGGCCAGGATTAGATGCCGGTTGCTTGCAGCATGCACGAGCACGAATTAAACGCGCGCGCTGATTTTGTTTCTTAGCGCTGCTGTGCGTTCAAACCACTAAACCGGCACGCCCCCTCTATGTAAACAGACCCACACATGCCGTGGTTACAGGAATGTACCGTGCACACCGTTTGCGCAAGGGGCAATTAAATCGTCAGTTTAATTGCTTGTGTTGTCTTGAACACCGATATACGTCAATGGTGATTCGGTTGGGTGAGAATGTGCAGCCGAGGGCTGAGAAAATCCTCAATCTCTCCTCGGTGCCATCGAGAGTATTAGCAGGGTGATACATTTATAGATACATCACCATAATTATATGGGGAAATTATAGAATAAACACTTTTTTTTAAAAGCTTCAACGTCTCTCACCAACCTCAGTACTCTTATCAAAATATGTAAACACTCTCCTCTGTAAGATATGGAGCCAGCCCTTTCACAATATTGTTCATTAAATTATCCGATGAGAAGAAAGTGTAGCACATTGATCATTATTATAAATCAGTGGGGTATCCATAATTGGGTCACCCCGTTTCCAGCTAAACGTCTCTCGGTTCAATCGAGACACAAGAGAGAGACACCCACACACGGCACACACTTAGAGCTGATTAACAACGTGAACAAATTGCTGCAATGAATGCAAAATTATTTTGACATTTCAATGCACTCGCGTTGCACATTCACGGACGGTAAAATGAGACTCTGAAAAAAAAGTGCATTGTTGCATATTCTGGGGAAATTTGGCAAATTTCCACCACACTGTTCCGGGAATTTGAAATGGTTTTCACACAGTCCGCTCAAGACCCTTTGCCATTTGACCTGCTGTATAATGCAACGTCAGCCTTTACCACTTAGCGTCAAAGCCTCTTGCGTGGGTTTTTGAAGCCTTGGGCTCCCACTTGGGCAGTATAAGGACGTCTCATCTGTCGGACGATCGGCCCTTGTGATTAGTCACGTGCTTGCCTGCAAGAAACAACTGTGTGCATTGACACATCTGTGGTTGTTTTTCCTGTTGTCAATACATCCTTCGGCACTGGTGGCTAAATAATTATAACTTAAAAAAAAATGATTTAACGAGTTAAATTGGGAATGGATGCAAGGGTAAATAGTTATTGAGGGAAAGAGTGTTGGTCTAACTGAAGCAATGATGTGTGGTGATTTGGTGGATGTATATGACGTTTCATGGGAAGTGTCTGGTAAGACTATATTGATTATGCTGCCTTCACCCGTGATTTGATGAATCGTCATAGGTGCTTTCAAGGATCAATTATTTTTGTCTCGTTTGGAGGATAGTTTATACCGTCTTACTCAAATGTCCCATCTTGGTTTTTTTTTTCCATGAGCCGAGTGATGTAATTTTCATGAATTGAGAATGATTGATTTTTGCATGCTAAATTCATCCTGTTTTTCCGGGGGATTAATAATAAGATGCAGTCAAAGTGGTGTAAAGACGATGCTATTATTGGTGTCTATCCACGGACGGCCGCGCGGATAACAGGAGTCATGTTGGGATTTACTGGTAGCACACACCTCTGCTGCCTCCCCTGTCACGTGGTGAAGACACAAGATTCACTGCTTGCAGAACTTAATGTTTGATTGTTCAATTACATGTTCTGCTGGCTCGGGACCGCACCATGAAATCTCACGAGCAGGGTCCTAAGCGCCAGTGGAGGGGAACTTTTCCCTTACTGGGGGCCGAATAGGGACCTTCAAACACCTTCCTTTGCCGGGCAACCCCACATGAACAAGCTCGCACCTCCGTATTATCCAGTAATGACGTGAAAAATAATGAGGGCTTTCTACATAACTGAGCAACACGGAGTATTGCCAGGTAACAAAAAATGTTCCTCTCGTATCCGAACAAGGTGGCTATTGCAAGGATGCTTGCAGTGACAAATAAATATTGTTTAATAATAATCATGTCAACTTGTAGCAAGCCGCACAGTGTCCGCTCTATCTCATAGAGAGAGAATGACTTGGCAGGTGTGAGGAGCCACAGACAAGCAGGAAGGCAGCCACGCGACGAGCCGGTCCCAACAATTGCCCAAGGTCTGTGGTCCCTCTGTATATTGAGATGTTGTCGGCCAATGAACGCGTGTTTACACGCGAGAGGAAACCGGGGAGGGAGGCCTCGTGTGGCCACGGGCCGTTTGAAGTGAAGTCACGGGTCTCATTCGTCCCTTGGCCCAAAGGTTCCCCACCCCTTCACTCGTGGTACCTGTACTATTGTAACAACTGTCTGGCCTTGGCCATCGGTTAAATTCGTTGCCGGTCGCATGGACGCTGCCGCTGCTGCTGCTGTTGCTACAGCTGAGTCACGGGTGGCGTGGTGCTGCTTGCGGTGGCGGTGATCGCGGTGCGGAACGGTGGCCGCCGCGCAGTCGTGCTGTGAAGTGGCGGCCGTGCTCGCGAGCGGCGGGAGCTCCAGGCGGGGAGGGGGGGGAGGGGGGGGGAGGGGGGAGAGGGGGGGGCCCCGCTTAGTCACCACCACGGAGCCGTCGTGACCGATCTCGCACGGCGGCGGTCCCAGCTGAAAACCGCCCTCTGAGAACGCGCACGCCACTGATGGAAATAATGCCCGTAGGTACGCACCCGAGTACCGCAATGGTAATAGGGTGATGTTGTGTATTCGGTCGTGGCCATGTCCGCGTTACGTTTATTAGCGCGCATTGTATATGGGCAAAGGTAAATTCAGGAAAGCTCCTCCAGACAGCTGCAGACCACCTTGTTGGGAAAGCGCACAAATGTGGCGAGCGGTGTAAATCCTTGCGCGCGTAATTGCACCCACCTTGATAGCAATGTGACTATCGTTGTACATTATTCTGTTATGGGCTATAAGTTATCACAGTGCGGTGCTTGTGTTACGCACGTACGTGGGTAATTGCAATATTTTGTTTAAAAAAAAACCACGCTCCCACTTGCAAACCGGGCCTTTGGGAATAGCGCTGATGTTTGCAAGTTATAGTCCAGACCCTCGTGGTCGTCATAGCATAACAGCCTCATGTCATTTTTCTGTTATCGTAGCACAGTGCTTGAGAACGCTTACATTTGTGGGAATATTTATGCAATATATGTTTTGTATCTAATCGTACGCATATCAGTAATGGAAATAATGTAGTTAAAATAATAAATACTATGTTATAGCAATAGTGCATCTGTTCCATGCACTATGTACACATATATTGTCAGCTGAAAACTGCCCCTTTCAAAACGATGATAACGGTGCTTACATATATAACAGTGCACTTACTCCTAGTGTAATGGTACGATTGTGTTCTCTATTACTCTACCGTGATGTTGTTTAATGTAATGCCGCTCTCAACTGCGGGAATATTGCGACAGGACAGCTCCTCTTATCCGCGACCCTATTATCCGCCACTCCAATTTTCCCCTACTCCTATTATCGGCGGCCCTATTTCAACTTGTTATCCATAATTTTACCGATCATGCACAGCAAAGCACCGTCCTCATTCCCGTTATTTTTTCTCAGATAGGAGTCGTGCGGCAAATTGTGATCCCATTATCTGTGGGGTTATCCGTGACCTTTTTTTACCCCTTGGATAAAAGGAGTAAAATTGTGGATAACCCCATGGATAATCATGTCTGTGATATTTGGTTTTGATGTATAATTGTGGATGATATGAGAGGAGTCCTTCTGTATTGAGAGATACTGTATAGCAATCTGATATTAATACTCGGGTCCTCTATAACAGCAGCACTACTCTCACTTTTATTGGAACCATGAACAATATATTCCATGAATATGATGTAGGCAATTATGCCCGATGCTTAATTGGTGCTAATTGTCATAACCACCCCACAGTGCCTACAATTCAAACAAATTTCCGACTGATTTAAAATTGTATTTACGTGGTGGTATTGGCTTGAGGATGCCTTCATCCAGCATTGGAATGATCATGGCTGACGATGGCTGCTGCTTTCAAATCCGATGAGTTATGAAGCTCTTTTTAATGGCATTCATGACACGAACTAGAACTAGCAATCGTGTCCACTCATTAGCA